AGTCCTTATCTAATTCACTCTCTGGCTTGAGGAGCCAGCGAGTTTGAGGGCATCACTCCTGTGCATCATAGCTGCAGGTTACAAAACACCCTTTGTTATCTGTAATTGTTCAAAGCAACACATTTTTTCACCCATTTAAATGAGTTAAGCTTTCCGAGGCTCTCCTTCGCAATCCCCACCAAGAGTTGCACTGCACGTGTTAACTTATTTATAAAGCCACTGAAGTATATAGAGATCACTGGCAAGCTGTGCAATCTGTTTGCATTACTCTAGCTGCAGGCTATGTTGTGTTAAAGTGAACCATTGGCTGATATATGTATACATGAGCGTACAACAACGACATTGGATACTGATGAAGGTGCAGATAGTGGTAATGGTGCTATTCAGGTACTGGCTGACTGATTAGCTGTTCATCAGAGAGACGGCCCGAGGACATAAACTGTTTTTGTGTCTGGTGGTTTTGGCGTACAGTGCTGTGAATAACAATATACTGCTCTTGGAGGAGGTTTAACATTCAGGCTTCCAGGTGGAGAATAAACCCAGGCCCCGCTGCGTTTCTCTCCGTCACACAATACATCGCAGAGAACACAATGGCGAGCTCAGCAGACTGCCACCAACACACTGACAGACTGCCTGCCTGCTCTCTATTCAGCCCACACACAAAGAGACAATGGGGAATATGATAGGGACAAGTTCTGCAACCACATTCAGGGGCTCTACCCTGCTCATGTAGTAGTAGAATATGGTTTTCCTCCGATCAATTCAATCGGTGGTTCAATCGACGGCTCCAGTAGTCGACATGTCCTCCGACGAGACACTTAACCCCAAATGGCTCCCGCAAGCTGTGCCTTCAGTGTATGAATTGGTATGAATGATTAATAAGGGTCCTGGTGGGCAGGGGGCACCCTGCACGGTAGCTCACGCCATCCGCGTGGGAACGGTTGGTAGTGGGTGAATTAGGTGACATGCAGTGTGAAAGTGCTTTGAGGGGTCGAAAGACTAGAAAAGCGTCATACAGTCCATTTACAATTTTGAACCTTTGATTCGATGCAGTGGGACAAATAGAGAAAAGGTGTCTGTATGAGCTTTTAATGGGTGCATAGGCAAAGACACATTTGGCATCTCATCTTCAGCTATAAGCTCCCACATTAATCCCAGTAAGCTAATGCAGGTCAAGCAATTTTGGAGTCCCCAGTAATATCCCGGCGGAGTATCAGAGCGGTGTGAGACACAGTAAAAACACACATAGCTGAAGATCAAGGACCCACATTCGAAAGGCAGCAAAAGAGCATGAGCCCTTTACAACCTTGACACAATTCACGAGCCCTATTTTTATAGAAAGGACGTGAGTGATAAAGTACAACTGGCAAGAGAGTGCTCCCACATGTCAAATCCCCACGGGAGCGATCGGAGAGGGCTGCAAGGGGCCGTCCCGCCCTGCCCTGCTGGGTAGAAGCCACGGTGATGTAATCCCTAATCGCAACCAGCCATGCGCCACAGGTTCAGCCAATCGTGGTGCTGGTGCGCAGTGATGCTGGTAAACACAAGTGACGTTCTCCGGAGGTTACTCTTCATGAAACATTCAGGCCTAGCACACATTTTAATCATTCATATGAAACTCAGTGTGTGGGCTCTGAACACTAAAAAAGGGAAATTCAATGTATGTAGAGCTAATTCAATGTCAGCGGCTGAAATGCACCTGTAACTCGGTGGGATCAACAGCTTTGCAAAGGTAGCAGAATTTGTCGTTGTTTGATCACATGTCCGGATTCAAACCAAATTGTTGCTCTTTTGAGAAAATGTATAATTACACAAAAATTCGTTCTCTCAAGCACCATAGCGGAAAAATGAAAAAGTTGTTACCATCGTGTAAAAAACACTCCTGTGCCTTTCAATTCTGTGGCACGTCCACTCGGGTATTGCAGCTGCACTAGTATCAAAAATACTTCAAAGATTCCCAGCCAAGAATGCAATTGCCAATTTTTTGACACATAATAATAATCATATGAGTTTTAAATGCAGATTATCAATGATGACAGTGACATCAAAGAAGGTATAAAAAAAAAGATGAATGTGTGTCAGTAGGAAAGTTTCCCAGAAGATTTTCCCAGTTGGTGTGAGTGTGCCATCAGTTACATCACCACCACTGCCCTCGAATGGCATTCAGGAGATAAATTAACTTCCCGTCAGCGCTGAAAGGCAGAGTGTTTGTGGCTTTTGGAAGGAGGGATCCTGAGCAGTGAGTGATCTCACATTGTGTTAGGGTAACTGTGGAGTTACCGTAGCAACAGCTGAGACCCTGGGCCCATGTTTCAGAGTAAAGTATCCTCAATACAACCACACACACACACACACACGGGCTCCCAACCCCCGGTCGTCTCCTCACCGACATATTAGCAGCCCTAAGGAGATTTGGTTCGGCCTTGGTCACCAGTGAAAGGAAAGTCTTCCACCGGCTTTAATGATCTTGGTGCACACTTCATGACACACATATCGTTTTTTATGTTTGTTTTGTTTTTTACTTCAGGGAGGATTATTGACCTGAAAGCTGGTTGTTGTAAAATCCTAAAAGGAAACACCTTATTAGAACGCTATGATAAAATCACACGTTTCACAGTGTGCAGGCTATCATTAACTCTGCAGCTGGAAAGGAGCAGGTCACCGTGCAGACAGACGTTCAGTGAAGCCGTAATTAATTAAAGGCACGATGACAAAAGACAGGGTGTCTTCGTAATGTATGTATATGTGTATTTCAGGACAGGGTCCGTGTGGTTCCTCACACTCTACAACAGCCACGCAGACTAGAGTAGCGAGTTAAACACCACAAACAAATAAGAGCGTGTATTGTATTTTTAGAAGGGGAATCCACTTGATTGTTGCATTTGTTTGGCCATATTGTAATTTCTTTACATGAGATTCACCTGTTATTCAGACGTGACACATTACATTACATTACAGGTCATTTAGCAGACGCTTTTATCCAAAGCGACTTACATTACACTTTAAACACAAGGCTTTTCACATTTTTGCCCGGGGAGCAATTAGGGGTTAGGTGTCTTGCTCAGGGACACTTCGACATGGAACATGGGGCAGCCTGGAATCGAACCAACAACCTTGTGCTTCCCAGGACACCTTCTCTAACCCCTGTGCCACGACGACCAATAACAGACCCGCTGAAGTCTGCCTCTCTGCTGTTACATTGCATTGAAATTGCAGCAGAAGAGGCCTGTGGCCAACAGAGGAATTCGGGCACTTCCATCAACCTGGATGAGAGCAAAATCTACAGGTCTGTGTAATGATGAGTGCTCAATGTTTCCTCCTCCAAACATAGCAGGAGGATCTGTAATTCATTAAAGCAAAACTTAAAGATGGACACATTTTGTGCCCTTGAAAGCATGCAATGCTCAGCAACAGCACATGCATATTTTGTATGCAAGTTTCTGCAGAGGACATTTGTGCTGAGGGTGATGTTTCATAAATGTAGAGGGGATGTCTCTGTCATGGAGGAAGGCGATAGGATTTAATGTCAGAGAACAGAACGGGGCCATAAGTCAGGAGCAAATCTGAATTTGGAGCAAACAGGTTAAGGGAAACAGGTCTGGTGGGAATAGATTCTCCCCCGCGTGAAACAGGATAAGAAGGTGAAAAAGAGAAAGAGGAGCAGACATAAACTGGGTAGTTTATGTCTGAGAAAAATAAATGACGACCTAGTTATGCCTCTTCCTTTGTGTTCCTCAGTAGGCATCCTGGGTCATTTTGGTTTTTTAGCAGGCCAGGAGCTCCGATGGGAAGAAAGAGCCAAAGTTTGAACTAAATGAGTACTAAGCTGTAGCCGTACATGGTTGTTCAGGTGGATTAGCATGCTCCCTCCCACAGTCAGGTAACACCGAACCGATTGTCGGGAAGCCACACAGGCAAAGCACAGGCGGAGTATTCTCCGCTTTCCCTCCACATCTTCCAGCCCGCTGACGTCAGCCACCTAGACCACACGACTCTGCCGCAAACAGCACACCCGCTGGCTTCGCAGTCCTCCTCGACCGGGTCCATCGCTGGCTCGGCTCACTAAGCAGAAACGCAGGTCTGTTTACAACCTGGGCGCTCACTCACCATCCTACAAAATCTATTTCACGCTTGCTCCCGGGAGAGAAGAGGAGCTATTGCTGTACAGCTGATAACCAGTATCAGAAGAGGCAAAAATCTCTTATTAATGTTTAATTGCTTTAGACTGCAGGTTAAATGTCCCCTTGGTATGTTGTGGAGAAAATTGAATGGGTCTTCCTGTTGCTGACTAGTAAGAGAATTCTCTTAGGATTTTCTTACACTCCTCAACTACAAATACACAGCATCCCCAAAGGGGACGATTTTGTAGTGACAGGCCCTCTCATCTGCTTTCTTAGGAAATCAGCATGAACATAAAACTGCATAGTCATCAAAGCAGTGCTTGTAGTGGAGAGACAAAGGGCACATCTTATTGGGACCTCACTTTGTTTTCATCTTTACAAGCAATACATGTCTGCTGACTATGTAAATTGGTTTTTTCCCCCCACAGAGTGGTGGTTATACTACACATTTGTTCTGCCAGCTTACACCTGGAAGGGCCACATAATGTAACTTGGTGTGTTCTCAAGTGCAGCGACAGGATCCCTTATGTGCATTATTGATGTCAGTGGTTCATGGGAAGTTGCACAAGCGCCACTCGATAATTGGTAATTAATATCAACAAGCAGTAATGCGACATGGAACTAGGAGAGAGAAAAACATGACATGAGAAAAACAATCCTGCCACAACGCCCTTTCAGTCATGTATTTCAGCGTGGTGCGATTTTGACACCTCGTCAACCTGAGCAGGAGGGACCTGGTATGTCCCCTAAACATGTTTGTTTTTTAAAGCCTGCCTTGCGTTATTTTTAAATTACAAATATAAACTCCGCATAATCCTATCCATGCATTGTCTCCCGGTAGACACGAGCAGCGGGACGTCTGGTCGACAGGTGACTCACCTGAATGGTGCACGTGTATTCCGTATCATCCAGCAGTCGGACGGTGCAGCTGTATTCCCGCTCAAGATTCCTGATGCTGCCGCTCATGAACCGGCTCAACATCTTCTCAGAGAATCGCTGCGCAGCCGCGTCTAGGACCGGAACAATAAACTCAACACCGGCGTGCTGGCGAACGTCACATCGAGAACGATCCCCGGTCCCTTAAATGACCGGCGCCCACGGATCCTTCCGCCGAGGCGTGCGCCATTGTTGTCCCGTTAAGTTTTGTTTTTTTGTGCAACGGGGCCCGGGGAAAGGAGACGATCTAGATCCAGAGGCTGCTCAGCCTTGTGTGTGTGTAAGGGGGTTGGGGGACCTGGGGGGGGGGGGGGGGGGGGGGGGGGGGGGTTATCTCTCACCATTCACCGCCGCCACTCGAGCGAGTGGGCGGGTCCCGGTGAGGACTGACGTCAGAGTGAACCAACGGGAGCGTGTGAGGCGCCTTTCGCTGAGATTTAATATCCAATACAAAATATTGTTTTTCTTAACTCGCAATTTGAGTAACAGCTACCTACCTAACTTTATTTTAACATAAATATAAATACAAACAGACAGGAATGTTATTCTGCAATAAATAAACTTAAACTTAACTTAACTTAACTTAAAATATCTTGCTCTCCATAAAAATATATCCAGTTAAATTATACATGTTATAAATATGAACATGCTGCAAAAAACGCCTGAAAACATAAATAAAAATGGTGACAGTGCTTGTGCTTTAAGTAAACATTAAAATAACAAATCAAAACATTTGAGTTTCTTTGCTTTTGTCATTTTATTTAAAAAAAAACCTTCTTATCACAAATGATTTTACTCTCCATAAAAATATCTCCTGTCAAAATTATACAAGTTAGAAATATGAACATACTGCAAAACAAAACAAAACCTGGAAATATAAATAAAATGTGTGCTTTTCAGTAATAACAAATAACGATTCATTCAGTTTTCTTTGCTCTTATGCCATTTTATCAGAGCTGGATGCTTTGCATCTTTTTTCGGCAACAAGTTGGTTTATGTTTGGCGCGAGGTCCCGTGTTGTGGAGACTCTCAGGATGGACTGAAGGTGCTCATCAGTGAGACGACTCCTGTGTGCTGTTTTGTTTGTCTTCACTGAGAACAGCTTCTCACGCAGATATGTGCTACCAAACATGCACAGGGTTCGAGCCGCATGTAGACGGAGCTGGGACATTGCTGCGGGAATGGAGTGAATAAACAGTGACGTACTTTGTCTTTAGTGTCCCATTACACTGCAGCTCAATCAGCTCCATCTGAATCTGCACAGGTGCAGTTTCCACGTCGACGGCAAATGGGTTGCGAAACAACTCAAAATTCTTTTTTTGTTCCTCAAAATCACCAAAGCGCCGTGCGAACTCTGTGCGCAGTGCGCTCAGTTGATGCGTATTTGCGTATTTGGGAACACCGTTGTGCCCCATTACTTGGCAACAGGGAAAGTGGGGCGAGTTGCACTGGTGCATTTGTGTCTCCCATAAAATCAGCTTCACTTGAAATGCCTTCACTGCGTCATACATGTCAGTGATCATGCGGTCACGTCCCTGGTTTAAGGCATTGAGACGTGCGGTTATGTCAGCCAGAAACGCCACGGAAAGCGCTCGGCAAGGCAGCTGAAGCGCTGCATTATGGGATCTGTAGTTTATTTTGTTATCAGCGCTTCATATCGTCGGGCCATTAGTAACAATAATATTAAATGATCTCGCGGGCCAGATATAATTGCATGCCGGGCCAGATATGGCCCGCGGGCCTTGAGTTTGACATATATGTCCTAAAGTGTGTGAATATTGAATGCAATCTACTGTCACCTGCAGGCCAGTTATCGCTGGTGCGATTTAAGCAGACGTCAGATCAGTGGTTTGGTGTGACGACCAACTGAGGTCTCTCAGTGGGAAGATCTCCAAGATCATGGGAGGTGTCATTTTACTATATTTTGCCCACTCACTTAGGACTAATAGCTACATTTACTAAATCGTCATCGTAAAATGAAATATGGCTTTATTTGCGTAGAAATGTTTTTATTTCAGTATATGGGAGGATTAAACGATAGGCAATGTTAGTATATTAATATTTGAAAAGCTGTGAAAATATCTCGTCCGTGGATACGCACGAGTTACATGCCGTGAACCGGATTCAAACCGGCGTTACTGCGGCCACAACGGAGAGTATTAACCACTATACGATCACGGCGGGCTAGCGAGGACAGGGGCTGCAGGGCGGTGAGTTAGTAATATCAAATACAAACACGACGATGGTCACACTAATGTACCACTGTCAACCTGGATCAACGGATCTCCATGTTGTTTTGACTGGAATAAAAAACTGGAGGATGAGGGGAAAATCTAATGGTAATGTAAGTAGTGGTCTTTATTGAATATAACTTATAACAGACATTTTTTATATTTGTTAGGCTGGCCAGCTTGCCACTGATGAAAAAGTATTTAGAAAAAGCAATGAAATCCAGCGATTATGAAAAGTAGTTAAGTGTTAATGTTTTTTCAGTGTTTAGATAAGAATTGATGGCCAGTACCACTAACCAAACACAAACTCCAGTCATTCATCGTCACAATCAACCACAGATGATTAAAATGCACGATTCAGCAACTCTAATCCCGTCAGTAAAAAGCATCACATTTTCAAACTATTTAGTATAGTATTTACAATTGGACCAAAAGGGGTCTAATCCAGAAGAGTCAGGAATTGCAGTTCATTTTCATCATTCTCTTCTGGTTCGTTGCTCCTTGTTACTGCAACTTTAGCAGCACACTCTGCCTTCCTGGTGAAAGGGCGACACGGACCAGCAGGGGTCTGACGCAGCTTCGGTTTGCTGCTTGCAACCGTGCCCAGACTTTGAGCAGAAGCAACTTCTTGTTTCTTGGCTGTTGTGGCGTGACTTCTCGTGTACAGTTTACAGGATGCCACCAGAGGCCTTCCTATGTCCACCTGTTGGCTGTCTGTCTGCCGCTGTCTCGTCTCCATGTTAGTATAGTGTAGCTCCACCTTGATGACCAGCATTTTCTAACAAATGCAAACAAAAAGACAATATCACACATTTGCTTCACTGACTTGCTGTGTTTTGATACTTCAGAATCGAGATAAATTTCATAATCTGCGTACCGTGAGCTTTTGAAGAGCACAAAGTTGTATCGTACAGTCCGGGTTATCAGATCTATTAAATAGTAGAGAATCCATCTCCTCTGAGCGGCCGGCGCTGGAGAATATGTCTTCCATTAACTAAGGATTTAAAGCAGAAAAAACATTGTTAGCACTATCACAAATTTTAGGAGAAACTGTACAACATATAATTTCACTCCAAGTGAACATGTACTGTATTCACACTGATTCAGCACTTACTGCTTGAAATACAATACGACACTGATGGATTCATAAATCAGCCACTAGATATCAGTATAGGACAAGATTCCGCATGGATAAATAACTAAGAGAAGTGCAACAGATTACTATCACCACATCCTGCTTTGTATGCTTCTGCAGCAAACTGGAAGCGCATATATGGGCAGAACTTCCTCAGACATGTGAGACTGGAAATCCATATATGGGCGGAATTTCCTCAGCCATGAAATGTGCGTCGAATGGTCATCATCAAAACATTTTTGCTGACTCGTGGAAACCGGGTGAGCAACATGGAACTTATGATGTAGATGTAACTAGCAGTTGGTGACTTAAGGAAAAGGGCTGTAACGTTGAAATTTATCTTTTACCTCTAGTGTGTTTCTCAAAAGTGCCGTGGCTCAAGAGTTTCACTGTACGGACATTTTGTGGCTCTTATCTGGTTGAGAAAGAACTTGAAAGGATAGTTTTGAAGTAAAAATGAAATACTTACAGGAATGCTACTCAAGGTGAGGGTGAGGTCCTCGGTTCGGGGGCCTTTTGTCTTTACAGTGGCAAAGGCCACCAAAACATTAGAGAACAAAGCCGAGAAGCTCACTTCCACTTCTACTCCGCAGACAAACATCAGCTGCTTCTTCGGTGGTAGCTCTGAAAGGGTACATGAAAAAGGGATGTTTTTTAATATTATGACAATATAAAATGCTCCACAACTGTTTTAATAGGACTGCACTTTTGTTTTATTATGGTATACAAACATCGAGGTAGGGTAGCTGATTTCCAAACCCTGGACTAAGGACATCTGTTAATTTGCGCCACAGAGCTTTTTATCTTTCATGTATTCTGACGGAGACTGAGGCCATTCTCTGACTCTTTTATCATAATTGGGTTTGGGTTCATTTGAGGATGTGTCAAAAGCCAACTTCCCTCCATTAAACAGGAAAATAAGCTTGGTAGAGTCCACCAGTTCCTCGTTTGACTTACAAATCAATGAAAATATTCCAATCAACCACAAAGTCTGCAGTTGGTTTGTTACATGCTGTAGTGTAGGAGATGTGGATGAGAATAAAGAGGTTTATCACACAATCAAGGTGACAAATTTGAGAAGTGGAACTGTGGTTTTCTTAAAAGAAAAAAAACGTTAATGTGGATGAATTTTACGTAGCCCTTTTCTGGAATGCTCTTTGACCTACAATTTTATAAATATAGGAACAGATGTTGCTTAACTCACCATTTGCTTGTCTCCAGCAGGCCTCTCTCTTGTGAAGCTCCCTTGTGTGGCCAGTAGTGCGAACGGGGTCTGCAAGGGTTCGAGGTTCCTTCAGGGTGTGTTTGATCTCCACCTGCTGCTTTCCTTTGACTAGAGGGTCTCTGCCTAGATCTGGTGAGGAGAAAAGCGTAAAATATTGGTAAATATAACGCCCATAAGAGCTAAAGACAAAACTCTATATTGTATAATATATAATATAATATATAATTTAATTTAATTTAATTATTTACAGAGTGTTTCCCTTTCAAACTCAGTTCCCTTTGATGTTAATACAATAACCAATTCATGCTATGACATAGCAGAGAGGCAAACTGCATCAGATACACTTGGCTGGCTTTGAGGAACTCAGGGAAATTCTTAAAGTTAAATAGTCAGTATTAACAGGTCACACTGGCTAAATGGGTTTTGGAAAACCCCTATTAACAAGGAAAAAAACGTGTCGGTTCACAGAGGGGGAATGGATGGCCAGCAGTGAAACCATATTTAAATAATTGAACATAGATTTAAGCTTGGCTTTTGAGAAGATATGGCATTACGAATATTTGGGGCAAGCTGTCTTCGCTCTAACGGACGAGCGACCAGCGGCACGTCGTCATCGGCTCTTTTTCCATCTCTAAATCCGTCCCAGACAGCAGGAATATAAAAAAAGGGTTAAGAAACTTCCACTCACTGCACACATTGTGGCTGCAGCGCTTCAAATAAAAAGTAAAAAGCATTAAACCCGGTTTTAAGAATGTCACAATCCGGGTTCATTTGTTCATCTAAATATAACCACATAGTTCCCTGTCAGCAGACCGGCGTGTGAGCAGAGCAGGAGGGAACCAACGGCACAGCAGCTGCCGTGCGCTCTGCAGCTCTCAGGTTTCCTGCTGCTGTTCTCTGGCCAATAGTGTGAATTTCCAGAGAATGAGGTCACATGCTCATGGTACCTCGAAAGATTATTCAACCAGACAAACACACTCTCGATTTCGGGACAACTTGTCACTCTGTCAAAGCCATGCGTACAAGTTCGGAGTAAACAACAATAAAATGAATTGCCCAACCCATTATAAAACCTTGTCTGTGGTCTGTCCCGGTGTGCCAAAGAACGACCTGTTCCCTTCAGATCTGTTTACCCAAAACCTACCAGAACTGTCAACCTACTGAGTGGATGAAAGTTTAAAAAAACAAACCAGCAAACTCTTTTTCTTCTTCCACGGTTGATAGACTACCCTTATTCCTGTTTTTATCATTTTTCAAGACTGATTTTTTTGGGACTCATCATGTCATGTTCTCAGAACCCTAAAACCCTAAAGTCCGATTTAATCAACTTACCCTCGGACACCTTCTCTAAGACGTGCGTGACCTTCTCTGTGTGTAAGATGTGCTTGTTCAAGTATTTAGTGAAGATTCCGGTACTTTTCCCTCCATCCTGGACCTCGTACGCCTCAGCATCTTCACATCTAGTTAGCAAAGGAAATTATTTTGAAAAAAAACAGATAGCGAAGGGAATAGTCCTGCTTTTTTACTAAGCTTAACTTTCTATTCCCCAGTTTGTTAACTGAAGAAATGTATATTGGTTTCTGTATTTGTGATTAAATATTTTTTAAAAGGGCTAATTAAAAGTACATACGTGGCATAACCGTAAACAGTGTTCCCACTGGGTGCCAATGGCATGATGCCTGAAGTTATGCAATCCTGGTTGTACCTTTGGATGGAAAAATACAAACTGCAGCAGTCAAAATAAATCCTGCTAACTTGCATAATATGATCAAATCTACTATATGTACAGCATGTAATATGTATGTACATATGTATGATACAGAATATAAGTTTACATAACTTTAAATTTCACTATCTTCAAAGGTGCTTACCATTTTCTACAGGTGTCCAGGAGAATTACGCTCAGTGCAGTCTGTTTGTCCTGCATGCTGAGCATGACCCTCTGCACACAGACGCAGTTTTCCGGTTGGTATGGTTGGGGCGCGTCAACGGCCACCAAGTAATTCCTCCCAACACGCTCGTATCCGTGACCCGCATAGTAAAAAAGTCCTGTCAAGGTTTTTTTTAAATCATACAGTTACCACTCACAGTTAAAACATTTTGCATTGAACATGTACGCAATGTTTGGAGCAGCTTAGAGAACACTGATTCCAACGTACTGCCCCGATGTGCGCACAGATACACAAAAAAGTGCACAAAAGGTACTTCCACCAGTGGAGAGAACGTGTGTGTGTCGGAAACGGTGTCCGGGTCCCCCACCCAAAGCTGTAAACCATGGGAAACCCTGGATTCCTATGCAGAATGATGACTTTCAAAACTCAAGAGTTGTCCCACATTCGTTTCAGTATTACTGAGAGAAAGTGGAGAATAGTAGCGGAGTCACGCTGATGCAGCGTGTCAGGTCTGTAATTACTGCTTCTATTTAATCATCAATATCCTTTCTATTATAAGCATCTGTCTGCTTTTCATTAACAGTAGTGGCTTTGCCCCCCCCCCCCCCCCAACAACGTGACTGGTTTTGATCTAGTTTATTAATAGTAATTAACAACATTCTAATACATGAATCAACTCACACATGTAGCTAATTTAGAAAAAATGATGAAGATGAAGATGTACACACCGTAGACTCCTCTGTCAAGGAGCTGAATGAACTTGTCAATAGCCGCCAGCATCTCCTCCCTGGTTAGATCCAGCAGGGAAACCACTCTGAAGCCGAGCTGCTGGAGGAGGTTGGCCAACTCGTGCACATCCATAATGGGGGCCATTAGGGGAGGGTGATTAGAGTAATTCAAGTTGCCAATAAGTAGGGCAACTTTGTCCGTGGCTAGAACAAACATCAAAGTAGAATCCCAATTATGGCTACACAAGGAAATTCTTGTGATTGCTTTCTATTGTAGCAGCTCTAAGAGGATTTACGCTGAGATTCTTTCCCTAAAACCGTACCTGTGGGTGCCGCCGTTGGGTTTTGATCTGTTAGCAGTGGAGGAAAAGAAAAAAAAAGGAGGTTCACACAGTCAGTTTTATGAACAAAAAATGGATCTAATGCACTGGGATTCCATCCAGAGGACATAGCTGATACAGATAAGAATGTCATTAATTTACATACATCTTTTGATGATCCGTGTTGTACATACCACAACACAAGTTACCAACCGGAGAACCACTGCTTGAAGTAGTTTCACTTTACATCACTTTCCTGTTGTGTGTGTAAGGCTCGGATCAAGTACTATTTGGAGTCTAACTTCCCTTTTAGTGCGAAGAAATGGGAAAGTACCGTCTGCATAAAACTGGGGAAAGAAAGACTTTAACTGAGTTGATAGCAGCAGTGTGAGTTATGACCTACCCATGTCGACATCAACCGCTTCCGTCCAAGTCTCCTGTAGCACGTTAGATATGGAGCAAAGGTAGGATCCACAATGTTCAGCCGTTGCATGGTTGATCTGCAGATACCACAGTTCATTACATTCCGCCCATTGTTTGTCTTTCTGGCTATCCCCCCCCCTCTCAAAAAAGTAAGATTACTCATGAAGTAAAACTTAAATATTAAGCAAAAGGGTGCGTGATTCAGAGCCACTGAATGTACACAGTGCCAACAATCACTTTCAGTACCACGTGAGCACACATTCCTTACCTGCAGAGTACCACCGCTCTTGTTGGGCAGCAGCTGTCCATTTCTGTACCACTGATAGTGCGGACTGGGGATGCCGAAAGCAACGCAGCACAGCGTGAACTTCGTTCCTTGACGGAAGGTTTGGGGCTTTGGGTTTTCAGCAATGTGAGGCTCACCCAGCCAGTTTTCTGGTAACCCTGACGATAGATAGATAGATCGAGATTCAAACTCACAGAAACATGCCAACAATGTGCATGAAGCTGATTGATCGTCCACTGACGGGCAGAGGTCGTATTGCCAGCAGATAAAACAACAACAAAAACACAAGCAGCAAAAAAAAATCGTATTAAGTAATGCATACCTGACTTGTCAATGTCCAAAACCTTCACTTTCACCCATTCGCTGAACGCACAGTTACAAAAGCGGTCACTCACTCGACACACATAGCGCTGAGTTTTTAAAGCTTTGATGGTCAAATCTGCTTCAGTGCCTCCAAGCACCTTGAAAAGAAAACAAACGGATGTTTGATAGAGTACAGGATCGCTCATGGAGAAAAGATAACATTCTTGTAGGTCAATATTTTTCTCTATCTTTTCTTATTTTAACTCATATTGATTTGTCATTTGTTTTAAAGTGGTAAGTCCTGTATTTAATCTGGTGTTGTAGCTGAGCTCAAGACAGCCGACAGGAATGTATAAATTTTAAATGAAAAGTTTTTTGCAAGAAATCAAATCCACGAACCTCCTGGTCATCATCAGTGAACCACTGGTAGTTGAGGATACCTGTGCCCTCAGCGCGGACACTCAGAGTCACTTTGTGGTTCACGGGTACATACACAGAAACAGGATGGCGCACTATGACAATTTCTGAAACAAATTAAGCGAGAATCTCAGTCATCCGGTGTCGTATTAATTTTTGAAACGTGACTGCTTGTGGTTTTACATACCGCTGATCATCATTAGACTGAGTTGGTTGCGCGATCCAATCAGTGCATCTTGTTATTATTATTAATATTATTATTGCGCAGCAGACTGTAAGAAGGGAAGTCAAAGTTTTCCATTAGTCCAGCTCTGACACTAAGAACTCAGTTTTAATTGTACCGTCCAGGCAATTCAATGCTCTACTTTCTGTCAAAAATGCCTATCATTTAGACATAACAATGATTAGTATATAAGATGTGTCAAACACTAGTGTGTTTACGCATACCTACCGTCAGCCTCATGCGAGTTGAGCAGCTGTCGGATTCCAGACAGTGAATGTTTTCTTCCTCTTAAACTTCACAACTTCACATATAGAAAAAAACTTTCGGTTTCCCGGAATGAGGCGGAGTACACACACACATGCCGACACGCCTCTAATACTGGGGCATCTCATAGTCTTTAACCTTCTGCACGCCGTAAAAAAAGATTTTACTTTATTTTAAAATAGCACGGGTTGAATTAATACGATGTCCAAACGGATGGACGCTGCTCTGGATAAGTCAATGTGAATCAGGTAAAGGGAATACAGGTTGGGCCTCGTTTCTGGACATTACGGTAACGATCACTTTTTAATGTGACGTAAAAGCACAGGGCGAGGTTAAACGAGTTGAGACAGGAAAAAAATATTAACTGTAACTATATCTCATTGTTAACTATAACTAAATATTGTCACCATGTGGTGAAGACTTTTTATTGTTCTATTTTTTAATTCTCACAAATTGCTTAAGATCTTAGATCATGTGACCTTTGTACAGTTGTACAAAGACTGGTGCTGCTGCTGCTCCTTAAGAAGGGTTCCTGACGATTGTAAATGCAGAACAGGTGTGACAGCAGGCAGCCACCGGACTCCGCCCAGGTAACCAGGGAAACATTACATTACATTACATTACATGTCATTTAGCTGACGCTTTTATCCAAAGCGACGTACAATAAGTGCATTCAACCATAGGGTACAAACTCAGGAGAACAAGAAACAAGAAAGTGCAATTTCCTCAAATAAGCCAATTTACAATTTGCTATAGATGAGTGACGTTACAAGTACAATTTAAGTGCTACAATTTGTTAGTCTTTAGTCGAGTCTGAAGAGGTGTGTCTTTAGTTTGCGGCGGAAGATGTGAAGGCTCTCTGCGGTCCTGGTGTCTTCAGAGAGCTCGCTCCACCATTTCGGCGCAGGGACAGCAAAGAGTCGAGATCTAGTCAAGTGTTTTGCTCTCAGTGAGGGAGGGACGAGTAGTTTTGCAGATGCAGAGCGGAGAGTGCGGGTTGGGATGTCGGGTTTGACCATGTCCTGGATGTAAGCTGGACCCGATCCATTCGCAGCATGGTACGTGAGCACCAATGTTTTGAACTGGATGCGGGCGGCCACCGGTAGCCAGTGAAGAGAGCGGAGGAGTGGAGTAGTGTGGGAGAATTTCGGAAGATTGAAGACCAGTCGAGCTGCTGCATTCTGAATGAGCTGCAGAGGTGGAATGGCGGTGGCAGGGAGACCAGCCAGGAGGGAGTTGCAGTAGTCCAGGCGGGAGATGACAAGAGCCTGAATCAGTACCTGCGCTGCCTTCTGAGTGAGAAGGGGACGTATTCTCCTGATGTTGTAGAGCGTGTATCTACAGGATCGCGTTGTCGCGGTGATGTTGGGAGTCAGGGAGAGTTGGCTGTCGAGTGTGACGCCGAGGTTCTTAGCGGTCAAAGTGGGCGTTAGTACGGAGTTTCCAAAGTTGACTGTCAGGTCCTGGGTAAGCAAATCTTTTCCGGGAAAGAGAAGTAGTTCAGTCTTGTCGGGGTTGATTTTCAGATGGTGGGGGGACATCCACTGAGAGATGTCAGTTAGACAGGCAGAGATCCGAGCCGCCACCTGGGTGTCCGAGTGAGGGAAGGAGAGAATTAGTTGGGTGTCATCGGCATAGCTGTGGTAAGAGAAGCCATGCGAGCGAATGACAGCGCCAAGAGAGTTGGTGTAAAGCGAAAACAGGAGGGGACCCAGCACGGAACCCTGAGGAACTCCAGTAGTAAGAGGACAAGGTTCCGACACAGATCCTCGCCAGGTTACCCGGTAGGTGTGGCCGTCGAGGTAGGACGAGAGAAGGGAGAGAGCAGAGCCTGTGACACCAAGTTCCTGAAGGGAGGAAATAAGGATCTGGTGGTTGACCGTGTCAAATGCAGCAGTGTGGAGTTGCTCTGAGACAGCAAGGAGAGCAGTCTCTGTGGAGTGGCCTGCCTTGAAACCTGACTGGTGGGGGTCAAGGAGGTTGTTACAGTGGAGATAAGAGGAGAGTTGATTAAAGATAGCACGTTCAAGGGTTTTGGACAAAAAGGGAAGAAGAGAGACCGGTCTGTAGTTGTTTTCTTCAACTGCTGAAACCTGCTCGCCCAGCCTGAAACTCAGAAACACACCTCCAAGTCAGATCATGACAATAACATAACGTAAACATCTATACTTTAAAATACACTTAAATCATCAAATCATAGAAGGCCTTTAATATTCATCGACACAACCTGTTTGTGTGTAATTGGTAATTGGGCCTGTCCCCAAGTAACTCTTGAGCAAAGCAGGACACAGACTATTGGCTGTCATCATCGAAGGACACAGACATGTTTCATAAGTCCACATCCACTCCACTAGAGTCTCTCAAAGTTGGGACACCCTTTTTACAACTTTAAGACTGATCAACACCAGTGACATTGATATAACCATCAAGGAAATTATTTTAATTAATCATTTATTTGAGTGGTTAGCTTTTACTTTAATTTTAGTTTGGTTCTTACACTCTTTTCTTGAATTTAGTCTTGGAAAATCTGATGTGCTCCTACATCTATTTGTGGGGCTGCTATAAATAAGCCCCTGCTGGCAACACTTGCGTGTCTATGATAGGCAGTTACAGAGATTTCGTTCACAGACTATGGCTCCAAAGCAACATTGACAACATCTCGATGGTAAGTTGGAACAAGTATCTAGTTTTAAAGTGATTAAGACACAGCAGAATTGTATTCCTAACACGTACAAGCTAATAAGACGTCTTTGGTTCATGTTTAACACAAGATAGCTGAACCTATTTATAACTTGTTTTAATGCAAAATTACTTTGCTTGTTCAGAAAGGACAAGCATTGAGACTTAACAGTATTTTTGACTTTTGTATTAAGAAATGATTGACAGTGTGTTTGACAATTAACTTCCAACAGGTGCCATTCTAAGGTATTTCTCTTTTTTTCATCCGCAGGGGCATCGATAACGCCCTCATATTTGAGCCTCGACAAACGTGAACACAGAGTAGTTTTCCCCTCTGGGTCATAAATTTAACAAAAGTTTGAAATATATTGTGAACTTTGCCAGTGGAATATGAATTCCAGACGGCCAATGACTCGCTCTTTCTCTGGCAACGGGAGGACAAGCAGCTTCAGTGAGGATGAGGGCAACTCTTCCAGTGGTCGCACAGAGAGCCGTAATCCTTACCTCTCCAATGTCAGGCCAGAAAACAGGTAGAGAGCCTCGCCTGCCCTCCGTGTATGTGCACCGGGTGTTTCTTTATGGTCTGTTTATTTATCTACATGAAAGAGGCTACTCATTGTAAGGGACACACCCTGGACCTGATTATCACAAAAAGTCTCATTGTTTCGGATGTTTTTGTTTCTGTTTTTAATTGTCTTTTAATTCCTGCATTTTATTTCACTTTATTGTATGAAATGTTATGATGTGAAGTACTTTGAGTCTGCCTTGTGTATGAAAAGCGCTATACAAATAAAATTGCCTGGCCTTGCCTTGCCTACATTGCATGGTGGTAAAAAACATCTATAAACCGTCAAACCAAGGATTTTTTTTATATTGCTCAGCAAACAGTTGTCCTATGCCATCAATTACGTGTGTGTGTCTGTTTTCAGTCTACGAACCACAACGACAAAGCAACGCTCTCTTCGTCAAAGAGGAGAGCCGTCATTAAAGTATTCTATTTAATTGGGTTAAACGCAGAACTTAATAATTGACGTTCCTTCATTTGCCTCCTCTCCGAATAGCTATTCAAGGTATTCTCACTACAGGCCAACGAGGGAATCCACATCTTTAAAACATTCCTCCCAACTAACATCTTAACCACAAGAACTTGTTGCGCTCAAGAATGAAACAAACCCGCGTTTGACCTGTCATGTAAATGTCCAGTTTGTCCAGTGCTGTGTTTAATTTTTCGGTGATGAACAGCGGTTTTAGTGTTGGATTGAAAACCTTGTTTTGCTTGATACCTCACAAGTCCCCTTTGTAAGTTTTTCACATTCTCATCACCACACGGAATCTCCATTAACATCCTGGTTTCTTAATCAAGCAAGTCACTGGAATGAACCGCCCACAGGCGAAGAGGTCACTGAAATTATACAACAATGTAAAACCTTTTACGACTCAAGAGAAATAAATTCTCTAACGTGTCGGTGTTTGCTTCCAGGAGCACGTTGTGCAGCGTCATGGCTCAGCTGACTGAGGACATACAGCCATCCTTTGACACCACCTTGAAATCAAGGGCGGTATCAGAGAACTGTAACGTGAAGTTCACCTGCGTGGTGTCAGGTGGGTCTGTCCATTTGCATGTCTCTGCATTGTGCATGTCGGAGGAACTGAAACCTTTGAGATTTGTTGTGTACGTACATAGACAGGATGTGACTGATCTGAAAAGAAAGGAAATATTTCACTTTTGAAGGTAACTGATCATTCTTCCTGAACTGATTCTTTAACTCCGCAGACCATATTAAGGAATTGTTTCAAGACACTGTGTCCGTTCAAAAACATGATGCAACTACCTAGAAACACATCCATGCCAAAGCTTCTATACTGTATTTTCTATTGCACCATTTCCTAAACATAATTATATTTAGTGCAAGCCAAATTGACATGGACTGTGTAACAAATATTCATTCATAGAGTGCTCTGTTACGTTCAAAACCCAGAGGCAATCCGTTAATAATTGTGCATCAATTTCTTTTAGGTTACCCAGCTCCAGAACTGAAATGGTATAAAGATGATATGGAACTGGATCGCTATTGTGGACTCCCAAAATATGAAATTTGCCGTAATGGAAAAGCGCACACCCTCCATATTTACCAGTATGTATCACAAATAGCTATTGCATTAAATGATTAAAAGCTCTTTGTTGAGAATTGTAACACTGAGCAGAATATGAGCTTAATAAGTGTTTCTGTTTTCAGGTGCACATTGGATGATGCCGCCATATATCAGGTTTCAGCCAGCAATAGTAAAGGTATTGTCTCCTGCTCTGGAGTTTTGGAAGTCGGCATCATGAACGAGTTCCAGATTCATCAGAGGTTCTTCGCCAAGCTGAAGCAGAAAGCAGAGAAGAAGAAGAAAGATCTGGAGGATCACACCAAGAAGAGGGATAAGGAAAACACAGAACGTCCTCAAAGGAAGCGGCACGTCCCGGCAGAGGAAGAAAGACCTTCTGTCCTGGAGCCTGAGGCCGAGGATCAACTGGGAGCTGCAGCAGAACCTAATGGTGTTTGCTCTGAAGTCAAGGAAACTGTCACTGTGACATCCAAAGATCTGGATGAGAAATCGCCATCTGGGGACACCTCGGCCAAAAAGAAAATAAAGATCACGAATGGAGTAGATGCTGGGGTGGACAACAGCAGTAGACGCAGCAGCAGAACCAACATGATGGGGGTCGGGGGGGAGAACTCTTACGATGGAGGAATGGGTTTGGCACAATTTCTGGCAGAGACTCTCCAGTCGCAGGCTGCAGAGGAGAATCAGAGCTCATCTCGAGGGGAGAAACACAAAGAGATGGATGTCCCTGTTGCAAGTGTCAGTGAAGAGAAAGTGGAGGAGCAAGAGAGGATGCAAAACATGGTGGAAGAACAAGACAAAGTCTTGGAAGAAGGG